GGTTAGGTGGAGACTGAGCAGCAGAGTGTGAACAGCTTCCATCACTGCCAGAAGGGATTCAGCGAGCATCCAGTCAGTATCTCAGCTGGGTTGGTGTTACGGGGTGATTGTTGCAAAGGGGATGTAGCACTCAAAATTATTAAATCTACTCTTCCCAATGCAACTTGTTTTTTCATCAAAGAGCAGAAATTGTGGAAATGTATTTGTATGACACAGTACCAAAAAGTACCTTTTATGTTTAAACATCAAAGTTTTAAGCTAGCAACTTAATTGAGATTTTACACCTAAGCATAGGCATTTCAGCTATTTTAAATGGGATTCTAGAGAAATTTGGTCATTCTTTGTAACAAAATGTGCACTATATTAGCACAATAATCATGAGGACTTCAGACTCAACTGAGTTGTTAGAGATGTCTACTGTCTTTGCAATTGACATTATGTTGACAAAGTACTTATTTGAATGCTTAACTCATGGATCACAATGGTTTCTATAAACAACTCATTTAATGTAAAGGCCTATGAACTTGAAACAATCTCAGCAAGAAATTCTTTTTTCAGATGCTGTCCTATTCTATAACTAGTATAACAGAGAAAGATATCAAATACAAATATTGAAAAAAATAGGACAGCAAAAAAAAGCCATATGAAATTTGTGCTCAATATATCATGGATCTATCACATCAAAAATAAAATCAGAGTACATCTGGAAACACACATTTTTTATATCCCACATGACATGTATTATATTTTTATTGCATACTGAGACTCCTGCAACACAAAAATGCAGTCAACATTAAGTTCCAAGCTGCTGTCAGAGCCCTGAGGGCATCACTAAGCTTTTCCTTCCCTGGCGATTGCTCAGGACCACACTTCAGCCCATCCCAGGCTCTTGGTGCCTGTCCTTATGTTGCCCCAGGATTCCAGGCTTTGTCTCTGGCTGCATCTGCTTTGTTCCCAGCTCAACTCCCTCAACTGGGCATTGCCCTGGCTTGTGACTGGCCTGCTCTGGGGCTCTCAGGGAGCTCTGAGGCCAGTGCCTGGTGCTGCAGGCTGTGGCCAGCCTCCATGGGACTGGATCACCCTTGTCTCCAGCTCCACATCCCTCAGGGAGCACCCTGCTCACACTGCTTCCTTGGCATAAGGTTCTTTCTGCTTTCTCACCATTTGGACAGATATTCAATAAGCAGCATGGGTCACACTGGGTGGTTCTAAGTGTTTGGTGATACAGGAGAAAATAAATATTTGGATGAACAGTAATATTAAATTACAAGAAGAGATATTTTCAACTGGCTCATATGTCTTAAGCTTACATTAATCACTTTTTTTGAATGATGAGAAATTTAACTGAGTATAAGGTGTGGAAAATAAGTTTTGGGAAAACTGCAGATTGAAGTATCCTGTGAGGCCAGTAAGTGGAAAGAGATCGTATATCATGTATTTTCCATTTACACCGTGGATGTAAATGTAATAGGAACACTGCATATTTAAAAAGCTTCTTGGCTAGAAGGTTAATCACAAAGCATAACTGGGATGTTATCATTGAATTAGCAGGAAGCTTTCATACTGGAGGCTATTTTACATTCAGTGTCATTCAAGATTTTCATTTAAAACTGGAAATGACAAATAAGACAGTATGCTAAACATAGAAGGATTCAGGAAAAGGGGCAATAATTATTACAGAAAACCACTGGAATAAAATGAGAGCCAACATAGACAGATGCACTGTGTGTAGAAGAGGAAGAAATAATCAAGTGTCAGATCCTGTCAGGAAGTGTAATGAACTTCATTGCAGATGCAGGTCCTTTGTGCCTCTCAGGATCAGTCCATAAATGAACATAGAGGAAAACACTGACTCAGCTGGAAAGAGATGAATGGTAGGTTACAGTCTGTGGTGGATGGACCATCACTGAGGGCTACAGTGCTATCCATGAAAATGTACTGTGGGCTGAAAACAAGGAGTGCCCTGAGTAACACAAGCCATGTGTTAACTCTGCTCTATTCACAAAAATTTGGCTTTTGATGGACTTCAGTGTAGGATATTGTATTTCAAAATCAGCTGTAGGGTCAGTGATACAAGGAATGAGGGAAACATCACTGGTACTGAATAAGTAAGAAAGAGTTATTAATGGCATGAACAAGTGGATTAAATCTCAATGAAATTAAGAAAATTAGTGCTTCCAGAGTAAAGTTATATTTTTGATTAATATTAATATTTTAAACTCCGTCTTACAGTATATGCTAATAGGCTGGTGGAGTTAATGCATCAAAAACCATTATTTGTTTTCTGCAAGAGAAAAACATGCTGTCCAGATAGAATACAAAGGATTCCAAATATTAGCAATAATTCTTGACTTTATCAGTATTGAAATGTAAATATTTTGAAACTGCCAAAATTCTAGAGATGTTTTATTGTTCAGATTTATAAGGAGAAGTTTTGCAGAATAAGCAGATACTCATTTCAAAATACATAATCATGATGACCATTCTTCAGGGACACCTACTAACAAAATACTATATACTTTCAGTTTGTTTTCTCTAATTCATCTATTCTAAATACTGTGTATTCACAGACTATGAAATCACCTCCCGTCTATTTCCTATATCCTTCAAACTGCCTAGTCAGATGCACATTCCTGGTTAAAAAAAAAAATACATATTATGGCTATTTGATTAGCCTGGAAGATAATTACCACAGAAGACTTTTTACTTTATTTTCAAATTCCTGAAATGTTTTAGATGGACTTTAATTTCCATTTTCCTTTTGCATTTCTGCAGAGAAACAACCCAGAAACTGGAGGTAGTAATCACTTAAACAACCATGTGAGAAACTAAAATATTTCACTTCCCTCATCTGGTGTTCCTTGTAAATAAAGGCAAATATTTTGGCTCAAGTATTAAGACCATCTTCTTCAGGACCTAAGATAGCACTTGGAAGGAATTTAGACTTTTAAGCCCAGTAAACCTCCTCTCACATGCTGCCTGGCTGGTGAGGTGTCTGTATTCAACTACCACTTTCATTTAATATTGAAAAGGATGTTTGATAGGCAGCATGTGCATTGCTTTCATAGAAAGGGGAAATAGAAGTTTGAATCCTTGAACTGAGAAGGTTAAACTTAGATCTCCTTGTTTCTGGATGAGTATATAGGAAACATGACTACTATTGAAAAGTTTGGCACCATTTCCAATTCTTTCTCAGGTTGCATTTAAAGTTTGAACATTTTTATTTCAAGTCAAAAACTGAGTTTGCATAAGGACTGTTGCAACCAACCCAGGTTGGATGGAAATAATCAGTGTACAGCTCTGATTCAGTTATTTTGTATGCATTAGTAGATCCCCACTCACTGTACTGGATTGCCTTTTAGAAATAACTTCCACCTAACTAGCTACATTTGTAATATTCTGGAACAGGTTGCCAAGAGTTGTGGATGCACCATCCATGGAAGTGTTTAAGGCCAGGTTGGATAGGGCACTGAGCAACCTGGTCCAAAGAAAAGCGCCTCTGCCCATGGGAGAAGGGCTAGAACTAGGTGATATTTAAGGCCCCTTTCAACACCAGTCATCCCACAAGCCCATGAAAAATTTCTACTATTTTTATATTCCAGTCTAGACTGAGCAAAGAAGCCCTTCTAGTCCACTGGGATATGCATTAAAGCATTGTTTATTGCTTCCTCAGCTGCCTCCCTTGTTAAGATGCTGTGCTTGAGTGTCTCTTAATTTATGTGTGCAGCAAGTCAAGTTGCTGCTGGGATGATGGCTGTGTCACAGGAGTGCAGAAGGATGTGGATCACTCTGTTGGAAGTGCCACCTACTTGTCAGGTGTTGCCACCTGGCCAACCAGCTGCAGGGACCACTTGAAGGGACAAGTTCCATAAGAATGCCTGATTAAGCTACTGCCACACACCCTCTACTCCCATCTTTCTATATCAGGAAGTTGTGTGATCACACAGTGAACTTGACTGAAAGCAGATTCTTTTGTACTGACATTGATACTTCCTTCAGTTCACAGGCAGTACTACCTCAAAAATATAATGCAAGAGAAGGTGTAGTGATGATGAAATGAACTAAGGAAGAAGAAGAGCAGGAGATGAACAGGGAAGTTCATTTTGACCTAAACTGTGCTTCTGGAGAATGTGTCTAAAGTTAAGCAATTTGTTAGAAATACAGGTTAGGTGAATTTATCAGGAGGTTTTTCTTCCTGCTCCTTCTCCTTCTTGCGTACGCTCTTTTTCTTCTCTCCTTTGCTGGCCATGGCTTGCAGTTCCCTCCATGGGCCAGCTGAATTCATGAACAGAGGAGAAAGGTAATGCAGAGGAAAACAAAGGGCATCTAATATGCATCAGATCCAGAAAGACAGAAGGTGGAACTACATAAAGAGAGGAGCTACACTGGTGGAGGAGAGGCTGGAAGAAATAAGCAGTTGAACAGCTCTGTGCTGAGCTAATACATCAGCACAGGTATCATACCTGCTTCTGGAGCCAGTGTCTTGCCTTATGCCAAGGTGATCACAGCACATTCTTAGTGATATGTCATGACAATGAGAATGATAATTTTGTGTTGCTCCAATACCAACCATGTTCTGGAAACAAATAGGAAATGAGCAGTATTTTGGAGGACAACTTCACCATATCTGAGAAAACTATACAAGAATTTACTTATTTCTACTGACAAAAAATCCCTCTCTGATCTATCACCCTCTGATGTTCAGTCGCACGGCCACAGTTTCTAGAAGTAACCATTCACCTGGGTACAAAATGTGTCCACTTTCTAATTCTCTCATAGTCTTCATCATGTCTGGGAGGAAAATGTCGGTTCTATCCTTTTTTGCCCATTTAGTGTCCTGGAGATTTGACATTTATTTTCTGTTTGCTGAGAGAAGGAGGGTTTTTTTGAACCTGTATTCTCCCCTCTTCTACCAGCATTTTGAAATGTAAATGTTAACACAGCTTGCACAAAAATCACTACAAATAATGATATATAAACTGAGACACCTGACTCTAAAATCATCTTTCAATTAAAGCTTTATTTCATAGTAGCACAACTGAACCTAATAAAACTAAACCAGACAATAGAAATTACCATTCACAAAGAACATGTATTTAACCTTCATTCCTAATAATAGCAATAATTAAGGGATGTTGACAAGCACTAGTTTGACAGCAAGATTGGGGAGGCATGTCTTTCCTGACACAGTGGGATATAGCATTAAATTGTAACAATGCTGGCAGCCTTCCAAAGGATGGAGTCAAGGCAGGTGGTAATCCAGTTCAGCAGCAGTGGAAAATAGGTGACTGCATGTTGGCTTTAAATTACAGTGCACAGTTTGTTTAAAGAATAGAGGATAATTTATGTGATATACGAAGTGTAACGCTTAAAGTCCTCTCATTTTTCTTCTTTAAAATGTGTGGCAATTGTTTCTTTGGGTATTTTTTTCCCTAGAAAGAATGAAAGAAAGAAGGGCTATGACAAGTAAGTTGTTGATTAGAATAGTGAGGCACATTCACAGCACTAAATTACTAACTTTCATTTACCTGGAATCCAAACATAGGGTGTTGTAAATAGAATTTTCACTGGAAATTATAGTAATGGAATTAGAAAACCACTGTTGGCACCAATAAACCAGTAACTATCTAGTCAGAATATTTTACCCTCTCACCAAGTGTAAGTTGTTTTTAACTGAAATAGGATCTCTAAACTCAGCATCCCACAGCTGGAAAAAATCCAGTAATAAGTGTATCTAGGGCAAATACTCCATCTTCAGGGCAAAACAGAAATGAAGCATTTTGCAGGCATTAATAAACTGTGAAAGAAGAAAAAATGAAGTAGCTGCAGGAAATTGATAGAATATTTCTCAGTGAAAATATCCAATTGTTTGATTGGTTGTACTGGAGGCTCACTGAGTGCTGGGGTGTGATACTGAACTCCTAAATAACCTGAGCAAGACTGGAGAGGACAAAACCAAGGGCTCTGGGTTTCTGTCAATGACAGCTGCTCTCTAAAATGTTTCATCACCTGTCTTTGAGAAAGTGCTGCAAAAGTAACCAGAAATGCCTTCAAAGGACTTTGAATTTTGCATTGCTACCTCTTGTGGTCTTTACTACAAACTTCCTGTGAGTATGCACACTGAATATGCTTAGCTGTGTAAGCACACTGTTTTCCAATGGTGATGTGGATCTGATTAGATTCTACTCTGATTAGATTCTATTCTATCAAAATAAAGCCAATCTAATTTGCTTAGAATAGCTAGTATCATACTGTCAAAAAAGCATCTGGTCACAAAAATATCTTCCCTTTTGGCATTACAGTACATTATGCCAAGAAAACTTTCAACTAAAATGTTTTGAGCATATTTTAACTGACATTTAATTTTAAAGAATGTGATTTTATGCATCTGGAAGAAAAACTTGGTTACACAAGTAAGTATCAGAAATTTAAACAGCATTTTCACTGTGTTTTTTTCCTCAAAGGCAAATATACTGTAAGATTTAGATGAGTCAAATGCAGTAGGCAAGAAGGTAGGTTGGTATGTTAAGCATTTTTTGGATCACATTTTACAGATGCTCTCAACTTGTAACCTAACTTGTAACCATAACTCACAAGTTCTTTATCCTGCATGCTTTTTTTCCCAGAAAAGCATGCTGCACAAAGTGACTTGTGTTCCTTAACAGCTCAAGAGATTTGGCAAGTACGTTGCATTAAATCAAGCATGCTTGCAAGTCTTCCTTGAAGTGCTTCTTGGACAGACACACTTCCTTTTCCTGTGTACCAGTTCACTACATAAGAGTTACTTAGGCATTCAGGCATCGTCTGTGCTATTTTGAGCTGAATACTGCTTGAAAAACAAAACAAAATGAAAAGATGCATTGCTTGTAATGCATACATTTTGACTTCTGGGAATTAATGTTCTTCCAGTAAGTGGATACAGTGTATCCTGTCTGTCAAATTTCAATTCCTTTTGTCCCCTGAGAGCAATAAATCAACCACATGTTAGCCACTGTAGCCATCTAACTGAACTTGTGGCTCCTATGCTAAGTTAATCTTTCAGAATCCAACCAGGCAATAAATGTCTGCATATATCTGCAGTTTAAAATTTAATGAATATGATCACCTTTGATGCATTTGGGGGTTTTGTTTGCTCATTTTTCATCAAGGCATAAAACACAATGACTCTATGAAATCAAATAGAAATTATTTCAATATTTTCTCCTTTTAGTCTGCAGAACCAAAAGCAAGTGTCTTTCTTAGATCTTTATAACAGTAATCTCTCTGTATATTTTATTGATATCAAGTGGCATTTTCATAAACAGCTACATGAAGAAGTGTATTGATTCACAAATCCCACCCCCAAAGCTCCCAGTATAGAAAATCACAACACTTACTTTTCATCATTGAAGCTTATATTCTGAAAGTCTTTACTATGTTCTCGGTGAAGTCATGCACATCATTTAAAGATAAATATTCATTTGCTACATGCCTACACATTGGTGGGCACGGTCACTAACAATTCACATACTTAAAGATCAGTTTTAGGAACCATTAAAAGAACTCACCTTTATCGCACAGAGTGCTAACTTGTTCAGGGAGATGCTGTAGGCTCTGCTCTTCCCCGGCTGGCAAGGATGAACAAAAGAAGCAGCCACACTGAATTCAATGATTATACTGGTGCAAAGCTGCTGTTAAGATAATTGTTAATAACTAGATTTCTCTTTTGCCTCTCTAAAGTTTTATGTTAGGTCTGTAGCTGTTTTCTCCTATTTTTTATGTACCGCCATCATGACTGGGCTATTTTAACAGCCACTTTATAGTTACTTCTAGATAATGTGTCCCAATTCAAGTGACTATATGCTGCCTGGATCAATATTACTTGTGAAACATATATCTCACATGGATAGAAATAAGAATTTTTTCTCAGTGAGAGATTGACAAATTCTAGTGCCTGTCAAGTATAAATTTACCCAGTGTACATTTTGCCTGAGTTAGAACTTTTTCTAAATGATACTTTGAGAATTTGTTATTTAACTTACTATTTCATTGTAAGAATCATATAGAACTTTGTTGAGACTTCCCTTTGCTTTTGAACAATACATGAGGTTATGTTATTATAGTTTCAACACTCAATAGCAAGCAGTTCCTGAATAATATTCTGCTATTCAAACATCTCATACAAAGTTGTTGTTACCTCTTTAACAGAGTAATTTACAAGTCATTTGTGAGTAATTTTAATGTTTGCCTGGCATCCTGAGTTCCATTTTCCTCTTCTGAGTCATGGCATCAATGACCTGTATGAGGAGAAATTGTTTGCATAGCCCATGCTTGTTTTTTCAAGCCTGCTTTCTTTCTTCAGTGTTGACATGCACAGGATCTGTTAAAAAACCAAATAACAGGAAAGAAAACTCTTCCCTTCTCTGCATAACAGCTGCTGGAGACAACAGAAAACAAATACCTGAGATATATCTAGCTCATTTTTCAGGTGACCTCATTATGAAAAACAGGAAAGACCCAGACTTCTGTGTTTGCTTTATAAAATGTTGTTTGCCTTCACTGGCTCTGTTGGGATTTAGGGACTAACTGTATGACAGGAAGCTCAGGGAAGCAGTCTACATTGTCTGATGCTATTGTTTTTCTTTTGAGTTCACTAAGTTCATTTCCACTATACTGTTTTTTTACCAGCATATTTTTGAGTCAGTTTAACTGACTGGAACTGACTTCTTAAAATAATCTGACAGCAGATTTGGTGGTGATTTTATGCTATCTTTTATTTTTAATTTTTTTTTCTCCCTTAAATCCATTGCCAGTGATCTGAGGTAAAGCTTTGACTGAGGAGTACTTGCAGGGAATTTAAGGGTTTTAGCTCTGTTCTGCTGAATAATAGCCAGTTTCAGCAAACAACAGAGCACTCGTCTTTTTAGCAGCATGATTGAAGAACATTGAGTGTCCCACTAGCAAAGAGAAACTGAGCTTATCCTCTCTTCTGAACCAAAGAAATCAATGAGAGCTTTCTATTTTTTAGAATAATTCTCATTGTTTTGTTTTGTTTTGTTTTTTGGGAGTTTTTTGTTTGGTTTTGGTTTTTTTGGCTTTAGTTTGGGGTTTTTTTGTTTTGTTTTGTTTTTACCTGTGGATTCAGGCATAAATTAAGTCTTCACCATTTGATTTGTGATTTTTTGAAACCACATTTTCAGGGCAGTGGACTTCTATGACAAGCCGGTTTGACCCTTCATATGAACTGCCACATATTGAAGAGATTCACAAAAAAGGCTTAACCTAGAAATAACACCGGAAAAATAAATAAATCATGTCATGAGCCAGGCAAAAATTCACTCACTCTCTGTGCTGGGCAGGGACTGCATGAAACGTGTCACAATCAGATAAGATTAAGTTAGGCGCCAAATGTATTATTCTGCAGAGGAGACACTTTGGGACCATTTGCTTTAGGCTGTTTTGGCCACACCTAGACCACAGAATACAGAAACATTTTTGCATTTAGCCTGACAGCACACCCTAGCGCTTTTCTGTTTCATGTATGGACAGGACATAGATTTACAAATTTAAGGAAACTACATAAACTGATAATGTAAGAACTATAGTGTTCTCACCAAGGATATCAGAGAACCAGCTATGTGGAGGAACAGAAACTAGACATGCCCTAGCGAGCATCAACAGGTAACTGCAGATGTCACCTCTGTATTTTTATATTATATGCCCTAAAACCTGTTCCACATTTAAATGGTGTAATCTTGCTTTGGTCCTCCTCACTGCCACTGCCCTGATTTACTCTACATGAACTCTGCCTTCTTCTGGGAGTAAAGAATAGAGGTGAATAAACCCATATACTACTTTAACAAGTATTATTCTTGAGATTTTTATGTATATGTAGCAGTTTAAAACTTCAAAATTATTACTCCCTCAACTGTGAATAAAATATTCAATTATAAAGAGCAACTCAGCTATCCACATTGAATCATTAATTCCCTTTGATTATAAAACTAGATGCATGCACACATATGTACATGTATCTGGAGCATAATACGTAGTCATTATTTTTTACCTTCCAGAGGCTTTGAATTCTTTTGCCAGTTCAGCCATAATAAATGCAAATGTTAAATAGGAAATCTGGAATTTCCACACAGCACAAGTTAAAGTAACTAAAATTGTGAACACCAGGTAGTCACTAGTAGCCAGATAGCACTAGTATCCCTGTCTTATGTCCCATATGAAAGAGAACCAGAGAAAACTGTAATACTGAAAAAATGTGGAAAGTTACACTAAGAAGGAGATTCAGCTCCAAATTAATGCAACATTAATACAAGTTAATATCCAAGCTACAGAGTAAAATTCAGCTCCCTATACTAGACATCACTGTTTCATAATGTTACCTGGAGTGTCCTGGGTGGTCTGAGACCTGCAGCTTTCTGAATCAACAAGTGAGGTGTTGGCAGGATACCATGGCATATCCACAATTGTCATTGCATGCCTTTGGATAACTGAGCTGCCTCCAGAGTCTTTACCAAATCATTACTGGGGTAATTCCAGCTTTACTCTTGGTATAAGCTTGCAAAATCATAAGAGTAGTAACATTTAAATAGCTATGATATGATATACACAAATGTAGTGGGAGTTAATTTTTTTTTTCTTGGAAAACTAATCAAGAAAATGTCAAGAATTGAATATCTAATCATATCTAGCTTAAGAAGCGTCAAGCCACCAGTCTGTATACAATTTATTTCTTGATAGTTTAATAATTATTTGAATGAATTTGTGTAAAATCGCGTGGTTTTCTACATTTTCCTTTTAGGGAAAGAATATTAAACACTGTATTTACCTATAGCATCAAAACAAGAGTACAAGTCTCAGTGAAGAGACTTTTACCAGCCTGGTGAGAGGTATGTCAGAAAAATTCATATTAGAATTAATGTAATAAAAGAGAAATAAGTGAGGAAAGAAAGAGTAGCAGACATCATGGTAATGCAGAAAGAAAAGCAGAATTCATCCCATAAAAGCTGGGAAGAAGACGGGAATATAGAGAATGAGAGAATACAGACTAGAAGCCAAACATTTGGGGGAAGAAAACAGCATATTAAAGGGAAAATTAAGATGATTAAACACAACACATGAACAGAAGGACAGAGAAAAGAAAGGGATTGTTTTGAGAGATTCATGGTTATCTGATAAACTGGAAAATAGTTAGGAAATGTTACTTTGATTAACTTTCTATGGGTTTAGTTTTAGCTGTTAAATCCTGCAGATGTGTGTTCAGGTGGTATTTCATTTGACTTGCCCAATATATCTGTAGAAAAGAAAGAAAGCAAGTGATTGATTTCAGATACGCTGTATTAAGTGGGCTTTGCTAAAAACTAAATCTCAAAAATGTTAAAATAAAACTCCTATATACCAGATAAGTAGTTTTACCTTCAAAAGCCAGCTTAATCAAATCACCTGCTATCAGAAAGAGATACATAATACTTCTTTTCTCATTTCCATCTATTCCTGTTGATACACAACTGTGTGTATGTTGCAGAAAATCTGTGATGTGAGGCTGAATTTCCTATAGACATAAATGCTCATGAGGAAAGCATGTATTATGTCAGTCATTTGTTTCAACAAGGCCCCTCACAGCATCTAAGCCATTCTTTCCTCTGTGTGTAACTGTCACAATAAAACACAAATTGTTCAAGACCTCCCTACAAGGACTTTTTTTCTCACTCAGCTGAAGCCTCTGGGCCGAATAGTGCAGAAGTCAGTTTTACAATGAATTGTGTATTCTCCCATTCAAGAAATTACCATCAGCAGCATCTGTTTCTGACACTTAGTAATGTCTACTAATTGCAAGCGTTATAACTAAACTGATGATGCAATGGAATTACTGGGTTTTACCATGTGTCAAGGTGAACCATGATTTCACTTCTAACTCTCTCAACTTTCAATTTCATTTTTCAGAGATATACAATACTTAAATAAAATAAATTCAGTCCTGGAAAAATTATTCACTTACTATTTCTCCATGGAGTAATGGAGTAAGTCACTTCTCCTGTATGAGTTTGGCTTCTATAAGTTATATTAACAACCAAAAAGGGGTAGGAGATGCTAGACACATTCCTTGCCAAACATTTAGTTTACAATCTGGAGGCTCAACATGCTTTAACCCAACTGAAAATCCTGCACATATTGTAGGACTTCTATGGCTTCTGTTCTGATTTATTCTACTGTTTCAGACCCAATATTGTTCAAAGGAAAAGAAATAATCTGTTGATAATATTCTTCATTGCTCTCAAATCGGAGTTGAAAGAGAGAAACTGAGAAAGGTCAGGCAGAACATGAATATCCAACTAATCAGCAGATTAACTTGATATTTATTTGGGAAATTTCTTTTTCTTTCTGGAAAAATTTCTTTCTTTCTGGAAAATTTGTTTCTTCATAATATTTTCAGAGTATTGGTAACTCCAAAGGATTTCATTGGAAGTTTAAAATCTGAACACATGTTAACAGGCTTTCTACAGATATGTTTTAAAGTAAATTAAAACCTTTAAATTTAATTAGAAGGAATAAAACACCTCTAAAAGTCTCTTTAGATAGTTAAAACCTGTGTGTTGTTTATACATCAGCTTATTAAGTAATCCCTTTGCTACACTAAATTTAATGCCAGCGAGAGAAATATGTTTCCTTTTAATTCTGTGTTTTGATTTGAGTTTGAAATGAAAAGGCATTGCAGGTGGACATAATGTCCACCAGCAGAAGAAGCTTCTATGAGCAGTTTCAACATCAGCAGAGATTCCTCCCTTCTCTCCCTCCACCACTAAATCAGCAAAGCAACGCATGGCAAGAAGGCATCAGGACTGAGCTGACGAGGAGACAAGCGGTGTGACAGATATAAATGGTGTTTTCTCTTGGCAGTGCCCCTTGAAAAGAAAGCAGGAATTAATGCGTGTCCAGTTAAACTGAGACAGTGGTTTAGCACACTGTATGAAGCACAAATTCTTCTGTAAGCTTGTCATGTGAATTCAGCTTTAGCTCTGGATATAAACTTCTTTAGTTAGGAATACTAAAATACTTGATGACTTTTTACTCTCTTCTGTTTCTAAGCAGAGAGAGTTCAAATTATTATTTTTGTTATTAGACCATTTTTCACAAGAAAAGGTGGTACATGTAATGCATGCAGTTTTCCAAGTTCTTGTATACAAAATGCATCCATTTTTTGTACAATCTTTAAAGATTGTATGGGTTCATTTAGCAAGTCTCAAAATCTTTTATGACAGACAGGTCTTATGTAAATGTTTCTATCAATTTCAATTATTTCATTCTGAAAGGACTAAGTCACTTAGAAATATAGATAAAAAAATGATATAATCTAACAATATATTAGCTGTAAAATTCCTATGAATGTTCTTATTCTGCATTCAGTATCTGAGTGTTATACAGGAGAGCTCATGCATCAGGAACCATTCAAATGACCTCTTTAGACTATGTCCTTGGGCTGACTTCCAGGATAGAAGTAAATATCCATATATAAATGTGCTAGTCACATCAAAGGTGCTACTAGGCTGAAAGCAGCTCAGGCACCTTAATCATGGTGTTTGGATATATCAGTTATCAGTGCATTTCCAGACAAAATGGTAGAAAAATTGGTTTTTTTTTTTTAATGGAAATGGCTTGATGTTAAATATATTTGGCAAATAAGGAATTTGTCTCTATTTTCAAAAGGTCCATTTTGAAAATTCTGGCACAACTTCTTGCTTCCTTTACCTGTTTTGGCAGTCACTGAAAATCATTTCTTGCCGAAGGTACTTGCTATCAGTTTCTAACAGATAGTTGTCAATAATTCAAATGAGCAGAAATCCTTAGTAATGCTTAGAAATGTTAAACAAGCAGCTTGCCTTGATTCTCAGGCAAGTACCAAGCCCTGAGTAGCTGTTCAGCATGAGCCTTGGAGACACACCCTTGAGATCATCACTTTGAGCTTAAAATTGAGAAATGCTACTGATACCAGTGATGTATCTCTTCAATAGCTGCCTACTTACACCTATTTTTAACAATCTAATTATCTTTAATAGAACAAAGTAAGGAAAATGTTGCTCTTTTCATGATTTTTTGGAATAGATTTCAATTTTTTTCCATCTTGCTTTGTCATTTGAATTAACTATAGACTCCTAAAGTACTAATCTCACATTAAGAAGGATCTGCTCCTTGAAAGTCAAACTTGTTTAAAGTCTATCTGTACAAACTTTTCTAGACAGTACTTTTTCCAAGAAATATGGAACCTGACAACCCTCGAGGTGCCTTTCCAACATGGTGTTCTATGATTCTCTAAAGTATTCAGAATCACTAAGCAGTTTTGATCATTTCAGCCAGTTCTACATATTCTTCAAGAGCAGTTTGAAATTCTCTTGCATTAAGTGCAAATTCAGGTCACACAAACAGGGTACCTGGAACAGATAATGTAATGTCATTACAAAAGTAATATTCAAAAAAATGAAAGCAGGTAATGAATCATCCTGGGGTAAACACTGGGGGAAAAGCAGAACAGCAAATCTATTTCCAACCTGCACAATCTGATGATGCATTTTCTACTCTCCTTAGAAGAGATTTTGATAGAGTTTCTGCTCTCCTTAGAAGAGCCTTCTGATGCTGATGCATGCAATATAATATAATTACAATTTCCACATACTGCACGTAATATATAATACATGTCATATATAGTCCTGGATTATGCACAATGACCCAAATAAGAAGAAAACAGTGTCAGTCTGTTTTCTAGAATATGTCCTTCATAAACTAGAGCAGTAAAAGCAGCTTTCAAGTTAGGGTTGCAGTGATGCTTCTTCATTTCTTCACTTGCAAGTGGTGGTGTTGCCGTCACCTCAGTGATGCATTACTTTCAGAAACTGGACTTATTCTTTCTTCAAAATAAATTGTTTGTGAAAACAGAGCTTGAATTTGAAGAATAAGATGCCAAGATGTTGGTGAACAAATTGAATGTGCATGGAACAGGTCTGCTTCCTTCCATCATACGGAATGTGTTCTAGGTAGGGGCTTGCATTGGTGAGAGAGATATGGTGCACTTTTAGAAGTCTTGTTGTACAGCTTCAATTTAACTATGTTTTGGATTATTAAAGAGAAGTATCTTTCTCCATTTAACATGAACAGCACAAAAATAATATTTTTCTCTTGCATTCATGCACCTGGCAATTTGAAAGATTGCAAAAAAGTGCTGTTACAGCACAAGGAAGCAGAACAGAGCAGTCAGATCTCTAGTACATCTTTTGGTGACATCTGGCTTAGCTAGCACAAGCTGGCAGTGTGCCCAGGTGGCTTAGAAGGCCATCAGAATCCTTGTTTGGATCAACACTAGTGTGGCCAGCAGGATCAAGCCGCGATTGTCCCTCTGCCTACAGCACTGGTGAGGTCACACCTTGAATCCTTTATTCAGTTCTGGTCCCCTAGAACAAATCAAGAGAATGGCAAGTGATAGAACAAGAAGAAATGGCCTCAAGTTGTGCCAGAAGAATTTTAGGTTGGATATTAGATTTAGATTGGATTTATACACTTTCTTTGCTGAAAGGGTTGTCAAGGTTCAGACCAGGCTGTCTGGGGAAGTGGTTGAGTCACTGTTCCCAGAGGAATAAGACCTGAAGACGTGGTTCTTAGAGATAACGTTGGACTTGACAGCACTAGGTTAACTGTTAGACTCAATGATTTTCTTTTCCACCCTAAATAATTCTGACTCCATTCTATGATGCTTTTCTGCTGTGTTTTGGAGAGCATGAGTAATGTTTTAAAACTATTTTTTCTTTTTCTCTAGGATGGCTATTCTTTAAAATGCATTGGATTGATACATTCCAATTATATATGCTGGAGGACAAAAGACAGTTAATAGGAGGCTTGGAAGAAATAGATCAAAAGGCCTTTATCAGCTGCTTACAATTCTCCACAATGGCTCTGACAGTGATTGAAAACATTTCTCGGGTTTTGGGCGCCAGCCCAGAGTATTGCTAATAGTGAGCAGACTATCTGCAGTTTTATATTTTATAAAGCTTTCTCCCAAAAACCCCATCTCCTTCTCCACCATCTTTAACATTGTACAAGTTCTGCAACTGTAGCCAGACCTAGCTGCTCAGTGAAAGATCTTTAACACAATTGTGCTGCCATTTGTCCACAGCAGTGAATTGAATGCATGCAGTTCTGATTAATTATATTA